GCCGTGACATAGCTGCCAATCCCAGTTATGGGAGTCCTCCGGGACTGCTCGTGCATTTTCAAGAGCTGTAGTTTGGCCATCACCTCTCGATGAGTTGGTCTCTGATGTGCCCAGGAGTACATTCTTTCCTTTCTTCTGCTTCATCATGTAAACCGTTTTTGAAATGACAGCTGTTCTGCTGTGCTTTGTATGTGCGCAGATCTGCATTTACATAGCATTAAGTTACCTGGCACTTGTCAGGGGAGAAGATTTTAGCTGGTAAGAGAAGAGATGTAGACAGTGGAGTGAAAAGGTTTAATTAACTATTATAGAGAAGTCCCATCTTTCGCTGGCCTTTTCCACTAATGCCATGTCACGTACCAACTGCAGTGGTGTTGACTAAAATTTCCTCACCAAAAATACAGTTTCTAAACTTAACAAGGACAAAAGCAAAGACAGTGCTTCTTCCGGTGCCTTACACAAGGAGTTACAAGATTCTTCCTGTGTTGTCGAACAGTTTTAAATTGAAATCTGCTGCCTGTTGCAGATTGGTAGGCTGGAAAAAAAAAATACAGATTTCGTTCATTTTTGTTGGTGTCTTGGGTCTGGCCAGGACGGAGTTAACTTTCTTCAAAGCAGCTCTGCTAGTGCTATGTTTTGGATTTGTGGCTAAAGCAGTGTTGATAACACACCACTGTTTTGGCTACTGCTGAACAATGCTTGTACAGTGTCAAGGCTTTCTCCCCTCCACACCCCCCTCAGCAAGCAGGCTTGCGGTGGACAAGAACCGGGATGGTGACACAGCTGGGACAGCTGACCTGAGCTGACTAAGGGGATATCCCATACTATATAATGTCATGTTAGGCAATAAAAACTGAAGTAGAGGAAGAAGGGGAGGGTGGGGTTTAGCTTCCAAAGTGGCTCTTGCTTGGAGATTGGCTGGGCATCAGCCTGCTTGTGGGAGGTGGTGAGTGATTGCCTTTGCAGCACTTTGCCTTCTCCATCTTCCCCAAGTCCATCAGTAGTACCTGAGCTCTGCCAAGCCCTCAAACTCACTCAAGCAACCTGAAAGCAGGGATGGGTGGCTGCCAGTGAGCAAAGCATACAAATCGATAGTCTTGAACTCAGTGAAGTTCCAGACCTATCTCACCTTTGCCTTATGGGATGCTACAGGCAGGGGATGACAGACACCACGCTGTGATGTTGTAAATCAAGGAGCGTGGTGATTAAAGCAGTTTTCATCTTTAAGGAAGCAGTTGCCCTCTAGTTGGGGTGAGCAACAGCAGATTTACCCATAAGAATTTGTTCTTACTTGATATTGAAAACCTAAGGACTTGACCTGTTATTTCAGGGCACTGGCCAGGGAATGGCCCAGTTGTTAATGTTTTCAGTGCCATTTTCTTAGCTCAGGAATTCTCCAGGTTCACCATTTTGCATGAATTTTCATAGAAATTGCAATGGCTCATCTTCAAGACCCAGACTGAATTCAAGCTCTTTCAAGTTCCCTGTACCCTCTGCCTTCCCGCTACAGTTCTGGTCCTATTTCTGAATTAGTTAAGTAGACATCTGGGATGTTAACTCTTCTGCCTGAACTGTTAATAAAGGATTCAGAGAGTATCTCTCATCATGGTCATAATATTCTGCACATCAAAGCATTGATTTTTTTTTTTTTTTTTTTATTTTTTTTTTTTTTTTTTGGGGGGGCTTTCTTTAGGGGGGGCAGGTTTCTTGTTTGTTTTTGGGAATGGTGTTCTTACCAGTAGCAGAATAGGCTCTGTAATGTATCCCTGTCAGTCATGGCCATGGTGCTTGGCTAAGTCTGTGTCTCCAGGGCCGAGATCACCCCTGTTATTCTTTACTAATTCTTGGATAGGCCAATGGAGCTGTAGTCTAAGTATGTGTTTCACAGTTAGCACACTGTGGATTTGTGTGTGATTAACACACTCCAGATAACTCTGTGCACTGACTATTGTTTAACTGTTAGTCAAAGGCTTAAAGTGGCACAGGAGTGAGTAGTGTATGCAGAGGTGGAAACATCATGCATTGTATAGTGTTGCTTGACACAAAAGGCATTTGACTAGTCCAGGAAGTCTGGGAGGGCGAGGCATCATTAACTACTTTCCTTTGTACACTCATTCCAGACTGAGGGTTTCTGGTGCTCTCTCAAGAAGTCTTAAGAGAAACAGTTGAGTAATAAAGCAGTTCCAAGGTAGTGAGACATCTGAGGGGTTACAGGCCTTAGGATGGAGGGTGCTCTGTCTTTGGCTTTGTAGCCGCAGTAGCTCAGTCCTGGTGGACTGAATTGAGTAGACAGCTGTTTTGAAATGATGGGACAAAGAAATCATGTTTTATGTTTTAATAAGGGTTCAACTACTACTGCATCGATAAAGCAAGATAACACCTTACCTTTTGCAAAGGAGGTTTGTGGCCAAATGCTATAAGATTTATGTTGGTGTTTGTTTTGAGACATGAGGGGGTGAGAGCTCTGTGATTTTTTTCTTCTAGGAGATGCATCCACAAGTCCTTCATTATCAAGAGCAACAGCAAGCAAAGAGTTAGATGAGCAGGCAAGAAAAAACATCCCTGGGAAGAACAGGGGGAAGAGGAAAGCAGATACCTCCTCCTCACAGGACAGTGAACTGGAAGTAAGTAGTAATCTTGTTTTCTACAGGTAGCATTGCAGAATAGTGTGGTGGTAAAAGTCCTCCTCTCTTTCTTTTGTCCTATCTCCATGGAAATGGAAGGGGATCATTAGAATAATATAATAGTTTGGATTGGAAGGGACTTTTAAAGGTCATCCAGTTCAACTCCCATGCAATGAGCAGGGACATCTTCAACTAGATCAGGCTGCTCAGAGCCCCGTCCAACCTGACCTTGAATGTTTCCAGGGATGGGGCATCTATCACCTCTCTGGGCAGCCTGTTCCAGTGTTTCACCACCCTCAATCCAGTCTGAATCAACCTGCTTTTAGATTAAAACCATTCTGCCTTGTCCTGTCGCAACAGGCCCTACTAAAAAGTCTGTCTCCATCTTTCTCATAAGCCCCCTTTAAGTATCAAAAGACCACAATAAGGTCGCCGCGGAGCCTTCTCTTCTCCAGGCTGAACAACCCCAATTCTCTCAGTCTTTCCTCGTAGGAGACGTGTTCCATCCCTCTGATCATTTTTGTGGACCTCCTCTGGACCCGCTCCAACAGGTCCATGTCTTTCCTGTACTGAGGGATAATTTGGGAAATTCCCATGAGCCATGTTATCTGAGAACTGGCCCAAATGAGTTCTTCAGTGGTCCTTGACAAGCATCACTTAAACACATCTTGGAATCATAGTGGTGTCAATGGAGGAGACATCTGGATGTGTCTAGTACAGCCTTCTGCTCAGAGCAGGGCTGTCCCCAGCACTAGAACCATGGCTTTGTCTAGCTGAGTCTTGAGAACCTCCAAGGTTGGAGATCCTGTACCTGTCTAGTGATTTGTCCCAGGACTACTATGTCCACCTGGGAAAGGAGGTTTTCTGTCTCCAACTGGAATCTCCCAAGCTGCAAATTTCCCCTTCTTTTTCCATGGCAATTTTCCGTCTGCCACTACTGAGAAGAATTTGTCTCCATCATCTTTGCAGTTCCCTTTCAATTAGTTGTGGTCTGCTATTATATCACCCTTAGTCTCCTGTTTGCCGAGATAAACCATCACAGCTCCTTCAGCCTCTCCTCTAGACCGCTGACCCATCTTGACAACCTTTTGCTGGCCACTGTCTAGTTTCCTCACATTCCTCTGGAACCGGGGATGCAATCTGGGGTGACTTTCCCAGTGCCAAGTAGGGTGAGACAGCACCTTCCTTCTATCAGCTAGGCACACTTAGTATTCTCCAGCACGCAGTTCATCTTATCCACAGGGAGAGAGCGCTGCTGGCTCATACTGCGCCTGGTGTCCACTGTACCCACCAGCTCCTTCCAGCCTGGACCAATATGAGAGGTTATTCTACCCCACATGCAGAATCTGCAGTTACTGAACTTCTTCTAATTCCTGTTGGCCCAGTTCTCAAGTTTATCAAAGTCCTGCTGTACTCTGCTATTTCTCATGGCAGCCAATCCCCCTTATTTATCATAACAAAGGTGTCTCTGATAAACATCAGGGTCATTTATCTCGTGCTCTCCAGATCACAGACAGTAAACTTCTACTCTAGCAGGACTCTAAAGTTCATTAGCACTCTTAAGTTTTTGCTTTTATAACTATAAAAGCAAGAGAAGCTTTTGAAATAGTTTGACCAAGAGAGCCTTACTATAGTTGCACTGTAGCAGTATATAAACTCCACTGCACTAAACTGGAAGAGTTTATATAATAATGTGTTCAACCTGTAAGATGAATACTGTTGTTCATATCTGTTAAAAGCATACTGCAACTAGCCGCAAAATTAACCCTAAAACTTGCTCCATTATTGTAGCTCAGTGCTTGGAATATCTCAACTCTAACCTGCTTTTATTCTCTACGCAGCGAGTGTTTCTCTGGGACCTGGATGAGACCATTATAATCTTCCATTCACTTCTCACAGGGTCTTATGCTCAAAAATATGGCAAGGTAATATTGTCTTTTCTGTAGAAAAAACCCCATATCTGGCGTGCAGAAGTAAATGTCAATCTTTGGAAAAGGAATAGAAAATTATATTTTGTTTTAAATGTATAAGGTGATACTTTTAACTTGTTGGCAGTTTGGGGCAGGGAAAGAACGCTAAATTTGGCTTTATACAGAGCTAGGATACGGACATCACAAACACTTCCCTTCTAACAATACAAGTCTTAAAATGTCAAACTGTTTTTATCATCATTGGGAATTATTGAGGTCATAGCACATAGTGAAAAGAAGCTTTTTTTTTTTCCTTCAAAATATATTGAAGATTTTTGAATGGTTTTTTTGTGTTGCTTCTGAAAATGCATCAGTCCTTCCTATGCAGTACTGATATGTTTTGTTAAATTTTGGGTTGCTGTGTTACCAGAATGTGGATTTTTTTTTTTTTTTTTTTAATTGAGTTGTTTAAAATGCTAGGGAAATTGTAGTTCATACCATTGAATGCAGATGGAATTACATCAGGCTTGATATACAGTGGAAACTCTGTGCAATGTAACTGATGAAAGATTTATCACAATTTACTTCTGCCTGTAACCACAGTGAATTTACATTTTCTCTTTTTGTTTTGCTAGGATCCAACTCTAGTGATTGGCTCAGGTCTGTCAATGGAGGAGATGATTTTTGAAGTAGCTGATACTCACTTGTTTTTCAATGACTTGGAGGTATGTGGCAAATGTTTTTGAAAGGCAAAACTCCACGTTACCTAGTTAGAATTACACTGCACCGTTTGTGAGGGCTATTGTGCTTTAGAGCCACTTAATGCTGAAATGTAACAGTCTGCCAAAACTGAAGTGGTTCTAAGCACAACCAAATCAAAGAGGTGTACTCTTTTATCTAAGACAGGCATTCTGCAGACTTCTAGTGTCATGAGCTCTCTTAGCTCTCTTATGGGTTTCTACCTGAACTTGTATAAATAAAGAGTGATGTCTGCTTTGTCTTATATTTTCATTCTGGACTGGTAACCACTTTGCTTTCACTGATCCTGTTTTGAAATGGAGACCAGAGATGTGCGGAAAAAGGTGACCTTGAGAATGTCAGTTCTCAGGGGCTTTGACTAAGCCAAGGACAGAACATAACTTGTGCATCTCAGCCAGTGTCTCAGTAGGTTACATTGGCTGTGTAACAACTATGAAGGACACGCTTCCGTAGGCCCGCATGCTGTACACATGGAGGTCCCACAGCACCCTCTATTTTTCTTTCCTGCAAGCTATCTCTGCTGCTCTCCCATTCCCATTCTGCCTCAAGGACTCTGATCAGCTTCTATCCTCTTTCATGCACAATATTCTTTGCCAAATTAAATGTATCTCACTGTTCTGCACCACTTCCACAGAAGTTGAATAGAAGTCTTTGCTTTAATCATGGCAATGCCCTATGCTGTGCTATGATGTATTATCAGATAGTAGTGTGCACAGTAATGGGATCCTTACAGGAAGGTGTGAACTTATGCCACAATCTGGAATTAAGTGGTTGGAAATAGCAAATTTTCTGACTCATGTTTTCTTTTCCATGAATATGGACTCATGAACCTAATTTGCGGAATTTACAGGACTAGTTTACAGCTTAGGAAGGCTGAATATGAACAGTGAACAATTAATTGTAGGTGCATCACTGATGCACATCATGGGAAAACAAGATGTTTTTGTTGATGCAAATAGAAACTTAGATGAAATTTCCATTTGTGGCTGTGACTACTTGCAGCTGTGAACTTTTGCAAAGGTGGTAATGACAGTTACCTCCCTGCCCCAGGAAAAAACCAACCAACCAACCAAACAAAAAACACCAAACAAAAACCCAAAACACCAAATACAGTCTCTCGTGCTGGAAAGGTAGTCACTGATATGTTAACTATGTGATCAACAGCAACGCTTATTGCTGTAGGTGTTGGTTAGTAGCAGCAGTGGGAAGAAATTCTTGAACTGGGGAAAATTCACTTCTTGTCCTAAGGTGTTTGCAATTTATCTCTGGGTTAAATCAGCTGTGCTAAGCATCAGAGTCTTGGCAGTGCCACCATGCTGATGTTTCACTCCAGGCTGGGGCTCTCTGGTAACGGAATTGACCGTTGTGTTGATGAAATGGAATATCAATACTTGACCAGATAAAGTGGTTTTTGGCGTGGGGTCTTTTTGATTTTGTTTGGTTTGGTTTTGTGAAATGGCAAAATGGTTTCAAATGACAAGTGAGCTTTGAGTCCAACCTGTTTAGTTAGTGTCGAAGTTCCTTTTTTGCAGACAACTCGAAATGTCATAGAAACATGCTTTTTTCAGACTTTTCTGGTACTTCAAATCCCAGTCTTGGCAAGGACCTGTAGGTGCTGAGAAGTAAAACCTAGTACTGGAAGACAAAGCTAAGGGAAGCTATGTATAGGTTTGTGGAGGCAGTATGGCATGGCTTGTTGCTGTTGGGAAATGTGAGGGGTTTGTTTTATATCACACTTTCTTTAATCTGCACATTTCAGTATATTTCTGGATTACAACAGTGTGACTTTATCTTTTTTTTTTTCCTTAAACAGGAGTGTGACCAGGTACACATAGAAGATGTGGCATCTGATGACAACGGCCAAGATTTAAGGTGGTGTACTGATGAGTGCACAAAATGTACAGCTGATGTAATCTGTTTTTTTGTGGGGACTTCAAACCCAAATGGGGTTAAGGGATGGAGGTCAGCATTGCGCAGGGCATGAAACATGGCAAATGGTGTTTGTTTACTGGGTGGTATTTCTTCGAAGATCTACAATACATTAAGACTTTCAGAATTATAATGTGAATTATATTGTCCACTGTTGGGTGTTGCCTATGTGCTCAATGACATGTCATGAATGGAGAACCAACACTCCAAACTTCACGATCTTGACCTTTGAAAGTCTCCTTATGGTTTGCATGCCTCTGTGAGCTGATTGTGTACACTATCAGGCAGGGTGAGGGTGAGTTTTCTCTTGCATTAATGAGCTGAACTGACTCATGGGAAGGTCTGAGAAGTGCCTGTCTGTCAGAGAGAAAGAAATATGGGGAAAGTGGTGAAGCAGGACCTGCTTCCTGCAGTCATGAGCTGGTAAAGCAGCTCATCTGCTTGTGGAGCTGCAGCTGTGATGTAAAGACACAGGTGTTATGTTTGGAAAATACTGTGCTGGCGTTTATCACTGCAGGATGAGAAAGGGATTAGTGGGAAGGATGCTCTGTATCGCAGAGGAGTGAGCAGTCAAAGAGCAAAGGAAGGTTTTATAGTGGAGGGCGTGAAAGAAGAGTTGAATCAGTACATTTCAGTACAGCAGTTCAGAACCAGCAGCAAATGTAGTTGTATATCGGAGTACATTGCCAATAAAAGCCGGTCTTTGCTGTTGGGGTGCAGTGATGTTTGTGCAGAGTTCCTCTCCGAGGTGCTTTTCTAGCTGCTGTCAGAGCTGAAGTCTGCAACCCCACCAGAAAAGCTGCCATGATTCTGTTGCTGTGGCAGACGTAACAGATCTGCTTTTCTGAAACAGCAACTACAATTTCTCCACGGATGGCTTCAGTGGCTCAGGAAGTAACGCAAATCACAGCTCATCAGTTGGTGTCCAGGGTGGAGTGGACTGGATGAGAAAACTGGCCTTCCGCTACCGCAGGGTACGAGAGATCTACGACAAATACAAAACTAATGTTGGAGGTGAGTGTTCACCTGCACCAATATCTGAGCACTAAACAGAGTTTGCGGTGCTAGATTCCATCCTTCCTCAGAGCTTTTGCTTTCCTGAATGTTTGCACATGAAAAGTAACCATTCTTCTAGTGCTAAATGGGATCAAATCTCCATGGAATCTGAGAGGGTACGTCTTCTAAAACTGAACGGCATGCTAGTGCAGTCTGTGAGTTATCATGTAGATAGGGGTGGTCAGTCAATCCTGTATCGAAGAGAAAATTTTGGTGCAATCAGTGTCCCTTTGCTAATTTTATATGAAAGGCTGCTTGTCACTCTGCTTAGAACAGGCCTAAATGACTTACATATCACGCTGCTTAGGAGGTCTTTTCACTCGTGTCTTCACAAAATCTGTCTTTTATCATGCCATTGTCAAGAAATAAAGCGTTCACCTTTTTGGCTGTTGTGCTTATAGTCTGACATGACATCTCTACCATCTGTTCACAAAGTCACTTAAAATCTTCTAGTTTTGCTTCCTTTCCAATGCCAAAGTAGTAGTAATGATGCAAACCACAGATATCAAGTGTAGATAAATTTTCTGTCTAGTCTGATGTCCCTGGGAAAGGGCTGCTGCTGGAGCAGCTCACCTGGCAGGGTGACTTGGCCTGGTGGGTTGTGGGTTTGGGTACCCTTTGCCTACGCCAAAAAAAACTTGATAGAACGTTTTCTTGGACATACTTTCTAAAAACCAGGTGTTCAAAACTATAACTTTCAGCCTTAAAAATCTATTAATGTAAGTCTGCATTTCAGTATGCTGCATTTCCATATTTTGCACGTGGGAAAGACGGATGCAAAGTTTTTCAGGACCAGTCTAAAGCCACATGGTAAAGTAGTTGGCAGTGCAACCCACAGTGGGTCCCTCCGTGGCCTCATTGTCAGAGGACTGGTGTACTTCAGGGCTGGAGTGAGGCGGGGGGGGGTTGGTACGTCATGGCTGGAAATTGGGGGGAGAGAGGTTCAGACTCAAGGTGCTTCTTTCTTGTATTTACTGACGGGAGCAGGTTTGAGTGTATCGGCTCCATTTTAGGCTGCTTTTAATTCAAAACTGGATGCTTTGAGAAAATTACGTAAAAGGAATAAAAAATATGGGGATAAAAAAAAGAAGGGGATTAAAAAAGATATCTAAAAGGGAGAAAAGTGGAAAGGGTCATTGGAAAGTAGGAGGTCAGAGAGGGTGACTGCAAGAGTTCCTTCCCCTGCTGTCTGTGGCTTCAGCGATGAGTGAGGCCTATTGCTTCTTTGTACAAGAGAAATGCGTTTTGTTGCACGTATCTGAAATTGAAATAATCAGAGAGAAGTATCTGCCCAATTCCCCACAGTCAGTCGCAGATGGGTGTCTGGGCTCATCCGTGTCACTGGAAGCTGGTTTCTCGCATTCCCTCGAGACCATCTCAGCTTTCAGATGCCTTCAGTACCATGTTATTTATTGCAGAACAGGCACCTGTTAAATTGAGCGATGGCTTTCTCTGTGTTAGACTTGCCAGCTCAGCTGGGAAAACTTGTGTTGCTTGCCTTCCAGGCCTTCTTAGCCCACAGAAGAGGGAAGCTCTGCAGCGACTAAGGACCGATATAGAAGTGCTAACGGATTCCTGGCTGGAAACGGCATTAAAGTCCCTGCTACTCATACAGTCCAGGTATGGAAACTGGAGATGTGTATGTTGCTTTCTCAGCCCTTTCTCTCACTTAGATGTGCATGCAGTGCTTTGTTGCAGCAGTGTCCATATGTAATACTACTGCTGCTTGTCACAGGTACTGGGAAGCAAAGTGAGTGAGTGCAGGAACTCTACTCCTGAGCACCCTTTGGGATTTTTCTGCTGCAATATCTGTTGTTAAGAAGGTCCCCTTAATAGGACTGTGCTCACAAAATTGCATTTCTGCCAGAGAATTTCTGTTTAAAACAAAAAAGAAACAAGCAAAAACCACACATCAAAATCTTGGCCTAAAAAGCGTCTCGAAAGCAGGGCAACAAAGCACATGGCACTTCAGAAAACTGAACAAGCTGCCTAGAGTAGCCCTTGGTGCCACTGGCCATAGATGTGCTTTTACAAGTGTTTTTCTTCTTCTAGAAAAAACTGTGTGAACATCCTGATCACAACCACCCAACTGGTGCCAGCTCTTGCCAAAGTTCTGCTGTATGGTTTGGGCGAGGTGTTTCCCATCGAAAATATTTATAGTGCTACAAAAATAGGTAAGGGGTTGTGCTGAGTACCTGGCACTGAGACGTCTGCTGCAGGTTAGCTGGTTTTTTTACACAGGAAATACAATTTCTGCAGCTGAGCAGCCCCCGAGGCTGCTGTGGTCCAGCTGGCCATATAATGGTGGCTTCTGGCCTCACTAGCTGAACTGGGTGTTGCCCCCTTCCCAGTAAGACAAGAATATGTTTCTGTACTGGGAAGAAGAGACGTGCTCAGGCTTCTGTTACTCTCTGCCTAAGGCTCATTCTACTGGGATTGTCTCTTGGCAGGTAAAGAGAGCTGTTTTGAGAGGATCGTGTCACGATTTGGAAAGAAAGTCACCTATGTGGTAATTGGAGATGGGCGTGACGAAGAGGTTGCAGCTAAGCAGGTGGGTTTCTGACTCTGCAGAGGTGGGATGTAGGTAGATGCAAAGGGAAGTTACTGCAGCAGTCTTTTTCTGCAAGGACTCTTTTTCCAGGGCTGAACTCTTCAGGCCAGGGGCAGCCAGGAGGAAACTTTGCCTTTGATGCAAGAGATCTTTCACTACGTTAAGATGGGGAGTTTACTGGCTCTTTGGGGTTCAAAGTTTCTGGTTTACTCTTGTTTAGGATTGCGTATAACATTGTCCCTGTAAAACAGTATCTTGATGTGGCATGTCTTGATCATAGCATGCAGCTATCAGTTAGGATAATGCAATTTCTCAGAAGCACAGAGAGAGTCAGGACTTGGTTGCCAGCAGTCAGATCAATACACAGCATCTACCATTAGTCTGAATTACAAACAAGGAGCAGTTTGATTGGTTGGGACAGGCCTGAACAGGTGATTCAGACATGCTAAGGAAAGGCAGTGAAGTGCATGGATTACTGTCAGGACATCGTCTCTGCATGCTTCACACTGTCTGCCACGTGCCAGAGTTGTCATCTACACAGGTTCCCTGGGAGCCTGGAAAGGCTTTCCTGGGTGAAGCAGCAGCTCACAGCCGAGTGCTGAGGTTTCCGTCATGAACGTGCAAAGCAGCTGATCGTCAGTGCCGGTGCCCATCATAAACAGATGTGCAGTTAAGATAGGCTTCAGATACCGATGTGCGTATGGCTGAGGTTCTTCCTGAACATGGTATGAGACAGTGCCATCACAAATGCCGTATTGCACAACTCTACAGGTGTACCTTGACTGCTTCACCTAGCTGTAAAATCACTCCAATAAACCTTTGTCATCTCTCTGTTACAGCACAACATGCCTTTCTGGAGGATCACAAATCATGCAGATCTTGTGTCCCTTCACCAAGCCCTCGAGTTAGACTTTCTGTAAGAAGTTGGAGCAAAGGCGTGACTGCAGCTCCTGCAAGCCCTCTCCATCGCTGCGGAGGCAGAAATCTCATACATTTGGGGACTCACTTTTCAGCTTGATGAAGAAAACATACCTAATGCAAACTGTACAGTAGAACATGACACCAGGTCATTTCCTCAGGAGCACAGGCCCTGCCAAGTACAAAAGTGTCCTATAAAGAAGCACTAGACTCAGCAGAGCTAGAGCTTGTCTGAAGAAGAGACTTATAGAAGCCAGCTGAATTCCTCTAGCAAGTAGTCTCCAGAGGGAGGTGGTGATACAACAGCAGAAGTATTTGTAAGAGCCTTCTCCTTTCTATTCAGCTTAGTTGTAGAACCCAAGTAAACACAAAACCTTATTTTTATAGAAAAATACTGATGGCAGAGCTGAACCTCCCTTGTTTCACAAAGCTGAAGAGAGCTATGCTTTTTTTCCATAGGAAATATTAATGAAAATGTCAAAAATACCTCTATTGCTGTGAAATATGTCCGCTCTCCTTCCCTGGGTGTCAAAGCAGTTAATTTATTACAATGTCCTTATGTTATTTCCTCAACGTGGGATTACTGGAAAATAGAAAGATAAGGGAATATTTCTGGGATATGTGGTTCCTTGTAGAGGAAAGTGGTGGTGTTCTGAGTTGTTCCCAGTGGCTTCTAATCAATGCATGCACAAGCCCTGTTAACAAGCAGGAAATCATTGAATTCCAGCTATCCATGACCCAGACTGTAGATCCCACAGATTTTCCCTCTAAAGGAAAACAGAACTGCCTATGAACATTAGACAGAGCACACCACTATTGCAGACTGCTCAGATGTGAACAGAGTCTTCGTCTGGACTAGGAATAATTTGAGAGAACTAAATCCTCACGAATGTTACAAAGAAGGGTATGGTTATTAACCTTCACCTCTACTTTCCTGACTCCATTTGTGAGAGTAGGTTCCTTTTAGTAGAATCAGATTCAATTTTCTTGTATTCTTCTTTGCATTAGCCTAACTACATAGTTAGAAACAAAACCCTTGTTAAGAGGGACTTAATTTTCTAAGACACTGTGACTTGGCAGCCTGGAGCACACTGTCCTTGGGGGTGATGGTTACGCTGATTTTTCTGCTACCATCTTAGAAAAAAAGGCTGGAGTCAGTGACCTGCAGTACCACTAGCCAGAAGTAGCCAGCTGGAGACTGGGGGCTGGCACGGGATGCTGGTTTTGTGCCAGGTCAGCCTGCGTTCAGTGGTATCTGCCTCCTCCCTGTACCCCGATGGCACCAAATCAGCAGGTGCCTGAGGTTTCTGCTCAGAGGACAGATGTCTGCTGTGCTCACCGCATGTCTCTGCTGCTCCTGCTGAGCCAAACACTGCAGCTGCACCCAAACCCCTCCAGATCTCTGGTCTCCAGCCCAGCATCACCTGTCTGGGACTCACGGGAGACTGGTCTGAAAGCATGTTGCTTCAGGGAGGACGCTGACCCACTCAGACTGTGCCGACAGAAGCAGGTGATGTGTTTGCTGCAGTCCTTTCATGGCATTAATTACTGAGGAGTAATTTCCGTCAGTGCTGGGGGAGTTGCTGGGCCAGCTCTGCACACACTGCTGTGCCCCGGCAGCATTCCTGTGCCAGCTCCGGTCACCACTGTGGAGGAGATGCCTAGAGCAAGGGGCTTGGATCCCCAGAGCTAAGGGACTGGACACAGAGGTCTGTTTCACATGTTTCTAGCTCCAGTTTTGGTTTTTAATTTAAAAAAAAAAAAAAATCAGAGGAGTTTCTCTTTCTCCAGGGTGGTCACAGGAGTTAGGATAAGTCTGCTTTCCGTCCACCTCTTTACTAGGTGTTGGCCTTGTGCTCTGATCTCAGGCGGACACTCTGGGTCTGCATGTTTTCCCAGGAACACTCTGCTTCAGGAGCATGCCATCTGTGTAGAAGCCGCTGCCTGCGAGTAACATGGCCTCTCATCCCATTAGAAAAATCTGAGGAGCCAATTTCTGCTGTGGGTGTTCCTGAGCAGCTCAGTGGAGGGGATGTCTTTTGGCTGCACTAACAGCTGCCGCTCTGCTCGCAGCTGCTGGCCCAGCAGAGCCCCCGGAGCAAGCTGGGGACGTGTTGTGTGTGGTGCTCAGCAGCAGGGTTTGAAGAGAAGCAGGAGCAGGAGCCCATGGGGAATGTTCTCCCATTTGCCGTGTACACAAGGTGAAGTGCTCAGGTGTGTTACCAGGTGTTCCCACGAAGCTCGGCTAGCCTATGTAGGTGTGTGCTGGTGTTTCACAGCAGCGTGGGCCCCATGCAGAGCAGGGAGAGATGCTACAGGGCTACAGCTCCGTTACTGCTGTGTCCATGAAGAGTCCAGTTCATCTGGGGTCTCTGTGAAGTGTCGTTACTGCACCAACCAGAGCAGTCTGGTAGGAAGTGAGCCATGCTGAGAAGTAGGCCCATTGCTCCCAGGGTCTGAAGTGTTGCCAGAAGATCAGGACTTATTTGCAGTCACAGAAGAGTCTGTGCTGGATCCTGAACATCTCTCTGCGGGTCCCCAGCCCATCCAAAGGTCTCCTGTAAGCGGGCTTGGGAGATGTCCCAGCCTGTGAAACAGCCTGTTCAGAGCACATCTCGTACTCTGGCTGGCTGAACTTTGGGATTAAAACCTGTGCCTTAACCTCCCACCATCAGGCGTGGCTGAGCGGCCCGTTTGCTTCACTAACATCCAAAGCAGCTTGCAGGAGAGCTGTGCTGGCCTGTACTGGGAGGTGGGATGTGTTTTGCCCTGGCACTCGCAGCGAGTGCTGGACCCAAGGTACCAAGCAGCCCAGCAGCTGGCTGGCTTTGCTTTGTGTTTGTTTACTTTAAAATGTTTTAAGGAAATTTTAAGATGTCGGCAAAATTTTAGCTGAGTGTGGAACTCTTGCAGCCAGTGACATTTCATACTGATATTTATACGATGTTTTCTTGAATGTATGTAAAGTACTTTTATAATAGGAGGTTGATGGTACATTTCTGTGTTTATGTTTAATAAAGGTTGACCTGGCTATTTTATTTTTTTCCTCTGCTGGCTGAATTTAAGACTTTCCCTGTCTCTCGTGTGGCAGGAACAGCATCTCTATCCAAGCATTGATTTTCTTTTGTCTCTGTGCTCTCCCGTTACCCCTGACCTGGCTGTAGTTGAACTGATGACAAACCCAAATGCCTGAATGACAGCCAGCCTGCTGGCCCGGGGTGCTGAGGCTGAGCCTGCCTTGGTGCTGCCAGCCTCCCCTCCAGCTTCACCGCAGCTGTGGAGGCTTTAAAAAACACCTGATCCACAAATATTTGCTGCCTCCAAGAGCCCTGAGGGAGATGTCCATGCTGGTGCTCACGGAAAGCAGCAGGACCCCTGGAGCCCGCAGCAGCCCTTGCTGCGTTACCGACCCCTCCGCAGCAGGAGAAGGGTGAGCCCCAGGTGCTGCCGGTTGCAGAGCCTTTGCCCGTTTGTGGTCTGTGTAATGGGAACTGTCCTACGAACTGGAAAAAAAAAAAAATAAAGTCTTTATTTTCTATAGTCACTGCTTCAGCCTGTTCTCTGACACCCCTGCAGTCAGTTGCTGTCCCCTGCAATGGCCTGGGCTGGACTCGGTGGCACCCACGGCCATCAGGGTGATGATGCCGCAGGTTGCAGCATAGCTACTGGCACAAGCAGCCACCCGAGACCGCGCTCCCCTGGGGTGTCCTGTGGGAGCCAGCAGTGGAGGTACCAGCTCCTTGGCTCTGCTGTGGTGCCCAGGGGAGGCACACAGCACTTGGGTAGTCCCGCACAAACCTTCCCTTCCCTTTTTCTTTTGCACAAGACCAACAAACAGCCCTTCTCCCAACTTCCGCTGTGGTGCCACTGTCGTTGGCCATGGGCTTATCTTCTTATAGGAACAGCTGTGAAAAAAACATTTCAGCTACTCCTCCAGCTGCATCCTGCTGCCTCCCCCGGCCCTCCCCTGGTACAGGGGGTCCCCTCCTGGGACAGGGTCCTGCCGGGAGGGTGGGCGATGGGCATGAGGGGAAGGGGCCAAGGGCCAATGCTGTGGGCAGCCAGGATGTGCCATGACTGCTGGCTGGGCAACAGCAAAATGAGCCAGGGGCTGTTTTGGGGCCTGCTTGGGTTTTGGCACCAAGCTGGGGGGCAGCCCTGCCCGGGAAGCAGCGGGTGTCCGTGCCCAGGAGCAGGCACAGCCCCACGCTGACCACATCAACAGCCACCTACAGCTGAGAAACCAGTTGTGGCCAACTCCAGCCTGGTCACGGCATCGGGAGCACTGCCTGGGGTGTGTTGGTGGTAATGCCAGCAAAGGGACCATGCGGTGTCCATAAGAAGCCAGAAGCGCTGAGCCAAACTGCAACCATACACGGGGACACATCCACTGCCTCCCCAGGAGGACAGGGTCCAATGGTGCTGCTGCATCCTGCCAGGCCCCCTGCCCCAAACAGCGTTTGCTGCTTGAAGGAGAAAAGAAAGGGTTGGGGCAGCAGCAAAGGGGTGACCTGCCCAGCCCAGGCTCCAGAGCTTCACTTCAAAGTGTGAAGCTTCAGCTCTGCCCCTCTCTGAGCCCACAGCAAGAAGGGAAAGGCAGAAAGGGACCTGGCAAATGTGGCAAAGGGCAGAACCAACATTTCTGTCGATGGAGAATCCACATTGGAACATGCTTCCCCATTTCTGAAGGGGCAAAGCACTGCCACAAGGCAGGGGCACAGCCTCCATGTGTTCTTACCCTGCACCATCCCGCAACATCCCGGGTTGCGGGCACCCCACCACCCCTGCCCGCCCAGGGTGGCCACTCTCCCAGCACGGCAGAGTCCCTGTCTCCTTCCCCATCCATCCCTAAACATGGCGATAACGGGCAAACTTTGACCTTAACAGCAAAACAGGAGAAGTAGAAAAATCCTGGCTGGAAAAAGAAAGATCAGATAGCCGCTGCCAAAGAAGGAACAAGCCAACAAGGCAGGAAGGCAAGGAAGGAAGGCCAACAAGGCAGATATCCTGCT